GAGAGAGAGAGAGAGAGAGAGAGAGAGAGAGAGAGAGAGAGAGAGAGAGAGAGAGAGAGAGAGCAGGCTTGTGAGTGGGGGCCACTTCCAGTTAGTGCATGGGTGGTAGATGTATAATGTCTAGTTTGTCCTTGGGTGGTCAAATGTATAATTGGCCACGTTATGTACATTTATTTACGATATTGTCATTGCTTGTTTGACTACTATTTACTAAATTTTGACTTCATCGTGATCATTGTTATGATGGATACAGTTGTACACAATTATTCTTATTGCTTTCATTATGTTTCATTCTCATATGATCCCATATATATATAGGGGCTGGTTCAAATAAAAATTAGTCATGGTGTGAGAACTGTGAGAATCGTATTTGATACTATTTTTACGATGTTATTTTAATATTACATGGTGTTATCATTTTTCACAAATCCTAATATAAATTGTGTTGCTATCTTTAATAAAATATATACTGCTTAAAAATAACACCAAAACAGAATCAATCATAGCACTACGTACAATTAAAAATAGCAGCTCTCACGGTTCTCCCGTTAAGACTTGATTCTCATTTGAACTACATCTTATGTTTGTGTGTGTACGTATAAGGATTTCTCTAAAGGAATTAATCATATTCCTTACAAAAAATCAAGAGCGTGCATCTTTTTCACTCTACTATAAATATACATTAAACTTTTTACTCTGTCCGCTGACAATTTAACTTTTTCACCACAAAAAGTGTGAAGGATTATGTGAATGAACCGAATAATTGTCGCATATCCATTGCGTATTGCCTTTACACTTTAATTTTTTCACTACAGAATGTGCAAATGGTTATGCGAATGGACCGCATAACTGTCGCACATCTATAGAAGGATTGTCGCATATTTTTTTTTTTTTTTTGGTACAAGAAGTGAAGGCAAAGCCTAGAATTTCTAACTCAAAACATTCCTAGGAAGAGCGACGCCCATCCTATCATGATGCAACCACATGCTCACCCCCGGAGGGGGATTCTCCAGCCTCTGCAGGCCGCCCGGACATTTAGCCGCCAAGGAGGCTAAATAATCTGCCACACAGTTGGCTTCCCGATAGCCATGAACTATGTGCACCTCCCACTGCCGATGAAGAAGCTCCATTATGCCTTTCACCAAACTACCATGAGGACCGCACCAACGCTCCCGGATAACCATCTCGATCACACTCTTATTATCAACCTCAGCGGTAACTCGACGGGCCCCAATATCCCAAGCAAGTAGCAGGCCCTGGAATAAGCCCCAAAGCTCCGCTCCAACAATCGAACAGAACCCAATATTCATCACGAAACCGTGCACCCAATTCCCACCATGATCGCGAATAATTTGACATGTTTGTTGGCGGAGTCTAAAGTTTAATATATTTTTTATGGCAGTGATAATAGGTATGTTCACAAATATCAAATCCCCTAACGAAAAAATAGTGGAGAGATGATCTCACACCACTCACTTAAAGTTAGTTGATGCAAATTAACCAGCTAAAATGTACTTATACAACTTGCTTTTACGATACTAATAATAATCACAAATACATAGTTATTTATCCTTCAATGGAGTCTTGAGAGATCAAGTTCGTGTGCCTAGATCAACCCAGTGAAATGATCCATCAAAACTCAAACACATCTTACCTCAAAATTAGCCAAAATGCATTACAAATTCATTGTACAGATACAAACAAGCCACCAATTATCTTGAAATTAGTTCATAATCCCACATCATTATACTTTTGCAGCCACAGTCATATTATGCATACCACTCTAGCACCATAATATTACACAAAAACTATTTTGTTTTAAGTTATAATTAGCACTCTAGCATCAAACCACTACAAAATCCACTTCTTACCCTGCATATACACAATATGTACACTAATGTTAGGTTCATTACAAAGCATATATACACATATGCCCGTGAAAACATAATAGATGCTGGCTAATGTCTTTTAGGTCAGGCTGCCGCCATTGTTTTGGCTCTGGTGGCGGCAGCTGCCACTTCCGGCGACTGGGTTTCTTCTTCTTTGGCCATGCCTGCACGCCTCTCTTTTCTTTCGTCTTGCTTCATTTGTTGCTCTCTACACTCTTGGCTACAAAATGCGGTATCACCACTGCATATTTATTAAATCACACAACAATGAAACTTCATGAAGTTTATACGAATAACTTAAGAAGCGACTCAACAAATTCAAAAAAATATTGATGATCATTGAGCAATTTATGGAATTTACTATTGATGCTTGCAAGAAAAATAATTGTACCAGTAATAAATTGTAGCATATATTTCTTAACTATAAATTAAGCTAAATAAGTATATTCCAAGAGGGAAAACTGCAACTAGTGATTTTGCATTAGAGTGAAAAAAAAAAAATACACGTCCAAAAAATCAAAATAACAAGTTTCACAGAGCAATCAACTAAAGAACAAAAACCAAATCAACTTTATGTCCAAAAGATGTCAACGCAAGTCATAATCTAGAAAACTAATTATTCCATTAACTATGTAAAAAAACAAGAATTTAACATAATGTTCCAATTTTATAAATTCTATCATCATTGAGATATCATATGAAATGTCGGAAGAGAAAATTTGCTTTTTAAATGAAGCATTTTAGACAACTTTATCCTGAAAAAGCCTCCGATAACTATAGCTAATATCATTTGATCTTATCTAAGGGAACAAAATATCCCAATTTACTTTCCAACATGAAATCAAAATTCACTAATCAGTTATCGCATTTCATACTTTCCANAAAAAAAAAAAAAAAAAAAAGATTACCGATACATGTAGATATCACGGCCGGGGCCCAGCAGGCGGTGGCACAGACCGCAGCTCCTCAAAAAATCAGCCGCCTCGGCATGCTCCCCGCCGCCGGAGAAGTTCTTCCCGATGTATCTCGGCGACAGCAACCGATAGTAGCCGTTGTCAAACTCCCCTCCGGGCATCACCGTCGCCTCTGGGATCCCGACGTCGAACGTGACCCCTGTCGTGCTCGCCGCCCTCCTTAAAGCCGGCCGGTCGCGCTTGCCCAGCGTCATGCTTGGGTTTTTGGAGCAAAATTAATTTCTCACACTGTAGTGTGTGCCTTTGTGTGGAAAAATGAGAGTGGGGGACTTGCGAGAATTAAAAGATGATGGGAGCGAATTTGGGCCGTTGGATGATGAGGCTCACATCAGCACGCGTTCACGTCAGCCATCATTTTCGGTTTCTTAATAAATTTGTTGGCACTTATTTCTTCTTTTCTGAACTTTTTAATTCGATTGGTTTCCTCTCTCTTTAAGGAATAAATAATTGTTGAAAAAGATGGTGCTAAATAGAGTTGGAAAATTTGCGAGGTTGCTTGTTGGATATTTGTGCCACAATTTTTTATTCTTGATACCAAGTCCTTGCTAAATATTTATTTTGAATGATATACTGTTAGGCTCCGTTTGTTTTGAGAAATTTACTGAAGGATTTGAAATTCATAGATTTTAAATTTACAAGTTTAAAAGATCATGCATGTTAGGATGATAATGAAAGTTAGCGGATTTCAAATTCATGCTAAATATTTTTTAGTCATTATTTTGAAGGATTTGAAATGACTCCTCAAACCTAGTCATTTGAAATCGACTGTTGATGACCACGCCGTCCGCGATCATTTAGGTTCATCGGTACGAGCTAGACAATTTATTTATAATATTTTCAACACATCCATTCAAGGAGTGTACAAGTAAAAAAATTTATATTTCAAAAATTTTGAAATCAAGGGATTTCAAATCCCTCAAAACAAACGGAGCCTTACTTTATTCGGGCCTTTCGATCGTCAATGGTGATATTAAAATTACTACTCCCTCCTATTTTTAATAAATGTCGTTTTGAGAAGTTGCACAGTAATTAAGAATCATTTTTTTGTCAATAATAACTCTCATTAATGAGGATAGAGATGGATGTTTTGAGAAAATATGAAGAGTGAATATGAAAAGACGCAGTGTATTTATTAGGTAGATGACGGTAATAATGGAAAAATATATATAAAAGATCCAAAACGATATTTATTAGTAAATTGTTGACAAAATCAAAATGACATTTAAAAGAAATAGGAGGGAGTATTATTTTACTTAATTAGGTGACTATCAATTATTATTCCTCATATATATACACACAATAATGCCTTTTCTTATCCCTATATATAATTCACCGATATGTTGGTATAATTCACATACAATACCCGTGTATTACACTAGTGTTGAATTAAAAAGCTTTTGTAAAAAAAATATTAATTTTTTATTTTATTTTTTAAAAATTATAATAATTTAATTTTATATAAATTATTACTTTGAGTTTTAATTAAATTGTCAAATTATATTTTTTTAATCATAATAATTAAACACCCGTACATTAAATGAAAATGTCAACCCGTTTTGATTTTTTTACTTATATCATATAAAAATATCGATATTATTTACTATTATATAAATACAAAAATATATATCTTAAATAAATAGAAATAATATGGTGATATATATATGCACAAGTGTAAAATATGTTTATTTAATATTAAGAAAAATAGATTAATTTTATTACTTAATTAGATACCTAATACATCAAGTGTCGTATCAGTCGTGATTCACAGTTTTTTAACTTTATATGTAATTTTAGAGTTTTGATAAATAATTATTTATTTTTGTTAGATTAACAACATACAAATTAGATTTGAAATAAATATCATTTTTATAATTATTTAGTTTTACTAGACTAACAACATAACAATTAGATTTGAAATAAATTTCATTTTTAAAAGAATACATATCAATTTCTATTGCTTTATAATAAAATCTATTGTTTTATTTGATATAATTTGATTTAGTTTGATTAATAAATTTAATATTACTGTTTTGTATTATATATATATATATATGTATATATAATATGGATGTCAAATCGAAAATCCTTGGAAGATAGTTAATTTGATATATCATATATGAAAAAATAAAATACAAACAAAAAAGTTATAAAATCTTAAAATAAGAAGAAGAAACATTTATAAAAACTAATGAATGAGTTATATAAGAAAATTAAATGTGATGTATAGTAATGTACGAAAATAAAACATAAAATAGTTTATGGTAAATAATTGTAGAAGTAGTTCTAGTTGTTTGTGTTGTTGGATTAGTTTAGTTGTGAGTGTGTTTTTTATTCTAGCGTTGCTAGTCGGGATTCTAGGCGGGCTTCTGACCTGTCCACCCACTTTTTCAGCTGTTGGCTGCTGTGTATTCAGCCGTTGGCTGCTGTGTATTCGCACATTTGTGCATTTTGATTTATAAAATTATCTATCGTTTCGGGAAAAGAAAAGATAAGAAAAAAATCAATCATGGATTTAGTGTAGCGGCCCGTTCGTTTATTAGAATTTTCGGATATTATTTATTATTTATTTGCTTATAATTAATAATTTGCCTTTGTTGTACTTATTTGTCTGTTATTTTATTAACTGCTCATCTCTTTTATCTGGTTATTATTTAATTGCTATGTGACTTAATTATGTGATTATTATGTGTTTATTTATTATTTATATGTATTAGAATTATTAGGATTTATTCGATTAGAATTTTAATTGTTTCGGCGATTATAAGTTTAATCGCGTAAACCGAACCTTTTCCGTTTTAATCCATTTTTAAGCCGTTTCGACCCGAACCTCGAATACTATTATTTTAGACCCAATGCTGGACAAATTCGGCCCTTTCAGATTAATTTAGCCGATTTAATTTTATCTCGAATCCTCTTTAGCCAATTTATCATGTCCAATTATTATCGGCCTGATAGCTATTAGTTTCAGCCCAAATTGCAAGAGAGTCTTGGCCCAAAAGTTAAGGGGGTGCTTGTTTATGGAATAATTTCTTCAAAATGAGTTATTTTGGTTAACCATAGTTAATTTTGAAAAATGTGGTATGGTTAATTGTTAGTGGAAATTTAAGAATGTATTAAAATAATATTTAAAATAAAATGATTAAAATTGATTTAATGTAAAAGTATGAGATAAATGATTGGAAATGATAGGTAGTTAAAATTATGTGAGTGGATGAATAGTGAATTAAAGTTGATGTGATGTGTAAGAATGATTGGTTTATATAATTTAATTATATAAATAATATTAAAGATAGTGAAGTTGAGTTAAAATTGAGTTAGATTTTGAGTATGAATTCAATTATAATGAAATAATTTATAAACAAGCATGCCCTAAGATTTTTCAGCCACTTTATTGAACCAATCTCACGGGGAAATTCCATTAGAAGGCTCAACTTTTTGATATTGTATCAATTTAAGGCTTGAATTTTATTCTTTCTCAATAGAAGACCTATATTTTAGGTTATTCTCAATTTAAGGCTCACTTTTTAGTTAACTCTCCATTGTAAGGCCCAATTAACTTTATATTTTGATATAAATATGTGAACCAATTAACTTTACTTTATAATATAGTTATGTGAACAAAAATAATTTTTTATTTAGTTTATATTTTACATACTTATAATAAATATCTTAAGTAATATTTACTTAATAATAAAGCGAAACTATATAAATTATATTTATGCAAAAGTTTAATCATGAATAATTTAAAAAAATGATAAGTGAATTAAAAAAATATGTAATGGAAAATATTATTTTTATTAATAATATAAATATGTAATAAAACTAAAAAATAATACATAAATGCAATCTACAAAAATATATCATTTTCAACAAGCAATAACATAGTAATATAGTATCAACTTTTACTTCTAAAAAGAAAAGTTAAAATTAATTTTTATTAATATAATTTTACTAAAGATATTTATTAATTTTTATTATAAATATGCAAAATATAAATTACAAAATAATAGTAATAATAATACTTTTTTCACATAATAGTTGTTTTATATATTTATATAAAAATGTAAAGTTAGTTGAACCTTATAATGAAAAGTTAACTAAAATGTAAACCTTAAAGTGAGAATAACCTAAAATATAAGACTTTCATTAAAAAAATATAAAATTTATTAATACAATTACTAAAAGTCAGGCCTTCCAATCAAATTTTCCCCTTCTATTCCACTTGGTACCCGATGGAGGCGTAGGCCTTGAGGTTACTGGTGATGTGTACATGAGCGGCCGAGACCGACAAGGGTCTTTTGACCACAGATACAGAAAAGAAAAAGAAAAGTTTTCAGTTTCAGCTCTTATATATTTAAGGCATGATATTGTTATTATTGATGTTGTCTTATTCAGTAGTTTTCAGTTTCAGCTCTTATATATTTAAGGCATGATATTGTTATTATTGATGTTGTCTTATTCAGTACTGGTCTGCGGAGCATAGTGGTTTGCTCACGCCCCCATTGTGTTTTTCTCAGGTGATGGAGTCCAGCGTGCCAGGTGAGAGACGTGGCAAGCGTGGTCATGAGTAGAGGACATTTTTACACGCATTTTTATGTTCTAAATTCATGAGCATGTGTTATGATGTATGCGGGTCCTCGGCCGGCGATCAGTACCTTGATGTAAGTCCAAGGCAGAAACCTTGGCCGTCGGGGGAGACTCCTACTGTTAGGGCATCGTTATAAGGCCTAAACGAAGGCATACGATACGTGGACCAACAATAGTCTATGCGTAGGTGTGCACATGAGAACGCACTTGGGATAGGGGATGAGATAGTGAAATTGATTCGTATACAAGTTTCGACCATATATGTCTTATATTATTTGTTATTTATGTGCATAGTGGTGAGCACCACGGATTCCGTATTGTGCTCATCCCCACTTTTTATTCCCAGAGTGATGCAGGTTAACCAGGTTGTGGGCACGGCGAGGCGAGGCGAGTGGTAGTCGGTCTAGATGACTAGACCATTGATTGTGTTGCTTCCGCTCTATTTATTTATGACTATGGATATTTTCGAACTCTGGATATTTATGATGTGTTGAAACACTGTTGAGGAGATGCCCCGTTTGACATTGTTATGTCTTTTCAAACTTGGGATTTGGAGACCCGTTTTGGGTGTTTGATGACTTTGGATGAAACCCTCGATGGGTGTTGATTTATGTTTGGTGTCATTGCTATGACTTTATTTATGAAAATGACTTTGGAATAAATGAGTAACGCCACAAATTTTTGAAATGAATTTTAAAATTTTAAATTGATTTTTCTGAAAAGCCATGGATTTTCGTTAAATCAAAGTGGGACATTACATTTAGTGTAATAAAAAATAAAAAATAGCTATCCAAACCTAACTCCAAAGTATGATTTTTTGCCAAATAGGATTCCGAATAATGAGAGTTTGCCACACAGGCTCAGCGCATTCTGAATTCTGTATAGAGGGGATGTTGGAATCTTATGTGACACCATTTCATGTTTCATATCGATACAACTACTAGCTTGATTATGACAACTATGTTTATGAATTACCATAAATTATTTCATGTAGATTTATTATCTTTCCTTTTTCATCTCTTTATTAATTATTATAATATATTTTTTGATATTTTATAAAGTTGAATAACTTATTTATTTGTTATTTGGTTTTCATATAGAATGTACCAAATTAATTATCTTTTAACGATATTTGATTTGGCATCTATATCGTATATATATAAAAAAATATCAACATTTTTTTATAAATAAAACTTAAATTTATTTATTAGTCCAATTTAAAAAATAAAAAATAAAATCAAATATTTGATCTTGTAAGGGCAACAAAACTCCCAATATACTCAGAAATCAATTGGTCAATTGTCTCATGAATATCCACGCGCGTGAGGAGTTCGTAAAATTCCTCAGTGGACTCACTAATCGAGTGTGCGCCTTGACGTAGATTTCGCAAACACTGGTAGAGCGTATGAACATAATTACACATTAAAAACTCACGCTCCATTTGTTCACAAAACTTTGTCCAAGTTGCAACTTTTGGCTTATCTTGCCGTTGTCATGCCTGCTTGAATTGCTGCCACCAAGCGGCAGCTCGACCCCCCGAAGTCGTGTCGCGACCAGCGCCACTCTACGAACATCTGCCACTTCTTAAAATCGAGAATATTTTCGACAGCGGTAATCCAATCCAAGAAATCGACGACTTCAAGTCCTCCCCTCCCACCAACCAAAAGAAAAATCGGGAATGTAGATCCAAAACGCCGCCTGCCATCATTAGTCGTCAGTGATCTGCCCGTCGTTTCGCCCAACAACGTGCCGAACGAATTCACCATGGAGATGGTGTCGTCTAGATCCTAGTCCCTAAAGTACAACAGAGGCGATCAAGAGCAGGGCACCCCACGAAGACCCCAACCGCATCAACCGTGCCCTCCCCCACGGCCACCACGTACAACATCCGTCCCGTGATTGTCGCGCTTGTCGTGGCCAGCTCCAGCCGAATCTCCTCCACCGCCACCGCTATGCCTTGAATTGATGCCCGAATGTCGCAATCTAAGCATCACGTCTGTCGTTCCGCAGCGTCGTTTTGTTTGGGCGGCATGACATAGGAATCGTACTAGTCTGCTTTGATATCAATTGACGTGTCAAGAGCATAAAGACAAGAGAGATTAAGAGAGAACTTTCGTTTCTTTGTATTCAATCAAAAAGCAATCAACACTAAAAACAATGAAATATGAGTCTTAAATACCTCTCCTAAAGGTCCTACTAAACATAAACTTGCTAAATAAAAGACAAATATTAAATATCAATAAAAATAAAAATAATAAATAACAATGCTAATGATGTCAAACGATTATGCTTATCCAGATAAGTCAATGCAATCTAGTCTTCATCACATGGTCATACAAAGATTATGCAAAATCTAATGCATTATATTAGTTTTAATATGATTATTAATATTTATATACAATCATGTTAAATTTCATGAATAAAACTTAAAACTATTTTTAATATTTTAAAAAAAATGTAAAAAATAAAAAATAAATACACGCATTTATCCGTTACCAAGACCACTTAAGTGGCCTAGCCAGCCTGATTAGGCATGAACAACTTCACAACTGTCTAACAAACCTAGATGCCGCCTAATTGTCCAAACCTCTAGAATGAACTCTAAGAGCATCTCCAATGGAAATTGTGTTGTATGACATAGAGAAAGGGAATTAAAAAAATTTTCTCCAATGGTTAGTGTTAATTATGGTGTCAGTTGTGATGTGTAAAATTGTAATTAGTTGAAGAAAAGAGATAAATTAAATAAATAATATAATATATAATAGAAGTTGTTTAGAAGGGCTTATACATCTAGAAAGCCTTCTAGACATTGTCCATGCCACGTAAGATTTTTTATGCCATGTGGCAATAAAGTAGAGCAAATGGAAATACCATTGGAGATGTTCTAACAAACCTAGATGCCGCCTAATTGTCCAAACCTCTATAATGAACATACCTAGATACGCCTAATTGTCCGAACCTCTAGAATGAACGTCTAAGCAAAAGTTGTAACGCCTAGGTACCACCAGGTGCTTAAGCCGATTTTTCAAAACAAAGATGCATATTTTACAACACTGCTTAATACCACTATCAATTGAAACTTAGAATCCTATAACATCTTTTAATAAATGAACTACTCAATAATAATAAATTTTAACAACACTAATAACACCACCAATGCTGAAAACATAAACATGCACCTTACGTTCAACTTTGATTCAAATAGAGCAATAATCCCAAACTCCCAAGGTTCGACCCTACAATGCAGTGACCAGAGTTTTTAATGTTGAATCAATACAACACAAATATCCACAGGGGTGTTTAATGATTCAGTCAACAGTTAAAAAACCGACACCCAAACCCAAACACAATGACTGCATAATGTTGAAATGCACCTAATCATCCTTAATTGAGAAATGGATTTCGACCTACCAGGACGTATCATCTCTCTATCATCAATAATTTAAAGCAAAATTCACCTAAATACGGAAAGAAATTTGATAATAAACTAGCTTGAAAAACAAAGCGAAATTGTTGTGTTGCTCATACAGTCATACAATCTATGTAACACACTACAAACCAACAGAAAAATCTCTTCCAACTGTATCCCTCTCTAAACTGATAAAAATACCAGAAAAATGCAATAAGAGAGGATACATGTCTCCAACTTGCAATTTTTCCTTGTTTATTGTTTTCTCCTTCATTTTCAAGAATTGTTGACCTCTTTCCTGAAGCACCGGTTTAAGTTACTGGACCACATGCATAACACGGTGTGCCCCAATTTCTTATACTTTCTGCTGCTTTTCTTGTCTCATAAGGTGTACAAATTCACCAAATACTGAGGCAAATAAGCATAAATTAGCACCAGATATAAGCATGTCTACAAATTCCAAATTTGCATAGGGAGGTAATCTAGAGTGGTGAAAGATAACTGATTTTTTTTCGTAATTAGGTTATAAACCTCCTGAGCAACCGAGTCTTTTTGCGTTGAACAAGAAAATGTACTTCACAATTTAACAATACAGTCTGTCCTTTTCTTTCTTTTTTTCTTGTTTCTTTTGTTGGTTGAAAGCCGCATCTTAACTATTCAGATACTAGTGAAATTGTTCAGATCAGCCGCGCATCACCATAGCCTAATAAGTTGTTTTTTTAGAGTTGGTTCAGGAAAAAAAATAATAGAAAGCAGATAAAACCAATACCAAGATCCGAGTCGTGGGGCCCAGGAGAAGCCTCGGGATGATATTGAAGTGACATGAGCTTCTGCTGAGCGAAAGCAAGCCCTGCACAGCTTCCATCGTTGAGATTGACATGAGTTACTTCCACACCTTCTGGAAGTGAATCAGGGTCAACAGCATAGTTGTGGTTCTGCATGGGACAAATGTAAAATATCTCTCTTTTTTATTTTTATTTTTTAAAAAAGGCAGACTATATAGTATGAGATAATCTTGGAAAGAAAAAGGTGGAAAGTAAAAATTGAAAAGCTACATCAGGGTTCCAAAATTTTCATATAACCATATTAAAATACTCATAATTCATTTTTTCTTCCATTAACAAAAGGCACCCTCGAGGATGATTAAGAACCCAGCTACATGTCAAATATTAGGACACCCTTCAAATTT